ACTTCAGCCAATCACCTCCGTGCCCTCACCTCTCTTCCTCCCTTTCTTGGCTCCCTCCCTCTCTTGGCCCCCCCCCTCCCTCCCTCCCTGCCCTTCCCTTTTTCATCTCTCCCTCCCTACCTCCCCCATTCAGGGTTTATCTCCATGCCCGATCCCGAACCCCCTCGCTCTCCCTCCCTACCTCCGAGTGCTTTCTACCGTCAATAGCAGGCCCCTCCCCCTCGGTTCAAACGGGGGGGGGGGGACCCCTTCCGGTTCGGAAGGGGGGGGGCTGGGGCCGGGGCTGGGACCGGGGGCTGGGGCAGGTACCGAGAGGAGTCAGCGCCACCGCGGCCGCGTGGATCGCGCCAGACTGGCAGGCCGCTGTGCGCGCGCGCATGCGCGGGCTGTCGCGGCCGCAAGGATGCACCAGCCAGCGCCAAGCACTCATCGCAATCGCCGCCGCATGGGTTTTGCAAGCCAACTTGTGGGTGGGTGGGTGGGTGGGTGGGATGTTTGTAAGAGCATGGGATTTGCCAGCTCTTTTTGTAAAAGTTAATTGCGCCGCATATAGTTCTCCATCTAGATTGCACACCCTGCGGCCCACGCTGGCTAACATTATTGCGAAGGCCTTACGGCCGGTGCCGCCGACCCTGAGAACGACGAAGATGAAAACGAGGGGGGGCAGGGGGAGGAGGATGAGTGGGAGGTGGAGGAAGCGTGGAGGAGGTGGATGAGGGAGGAGGAGGGAGAGAAGGATGTGGAGGAGAAGCAAGAGGAGGAGAAGGAGGCAGAGGAGAGCAGGAGGAGGGGGAGCAGAGGGGGGGGGAGGAGGAGGACGAGGAGAAGGAGGAGGAAGAGGAGGCCAGAGGCTTTCTTGGGACAGCCTGGAACTTTCTTAAGGCCGTCTCGGGCCGTCCAGGGCTCTTCTTGCGCCGTCTCGAGGCACTCTTGGAGGCCTCCTGGGTAATTTGGAGCTCTCCTGAGCTGTCTTGGGGCAATGTTGGAGGCTTCTTGAGCCGTCTTGAGCTGACGGAAGCCCGAAGCGAAAATGTCTACAATAACTTAAGGAGATCGTTGATGTGAGTCTTTTCGGGTACTCCAGAGGGTCCTGTTGGAGCCCTCTTGGGCTGTCTTGGGCCATCTTGGCGGTCTTGGTGGCCTTCCTGGGCCGTCTTGGATTCCTCCGAAGGCCCTCGTGGGCTAGCTTGGGGCTCTTTTGGTGCGGTCCTGGGCCATCTAGGCCCCACTTGCATCGTCTTGATGCCGTCTTGGACGCCTCTTGAGTGATTTCGGGTGTCTTTGGGGCCGTTTTGGAGCAATCTTGGAGGCGTCTAGGGCCGTCTTGAGCGGACGGATGTTCGCAGCGAGAATCGTTCAAACATTGTTTAGGCAATCGGTGATGTTTGCTTCTTCGGGCCTTCTGGGGGATCCTTTTGAAGCATTTTTGGGCGGGCGGTTTTGACGGCTTCTTGGGCCGCCTTGAGGTCATCTTGGGCCGACGTGCCGTCTTGGAGCCATCGCTCTTTTGTGGTCATCGTGTCACTCTTGGAGACTCTTTGAAAGCCATTTGGGGGAATATTGGCCGGCTTGGCGGCCACCTGGCAGGTCTTGGAGCCGTCTTGTGGCCGTTTTGGGGCCCTCTCGGGCTGTCTTGGGGCCATCGTGGAGGCGTCTTGGGCGCTCCTGGGGCGATCTTCTTGAGCCGTCTCGGGCCGTCTGCAGGACAACAAGGAGCGAACCTCGAGAAGAATTGGAACACATGAAGAAAATCGATGTGTTTCGTTTCTTCGGGCCTCCCAGGAGATGTCCTTGGAAGCTTTTTCGGCCGTCTGGGAAGACTGGCGTGGGTGAGAGTCCTGAGGAATGCGTGCTGGGTGTGTTTCGAACGCTCTCGTGGGCCGCTGGGGGGCAGTGTGGGGCCTCTTCGAGGCTTGAGGGCCTTGGGGCTGGGGGCGTTGTGGCCCGTAATGGGGCCCTCGTGGACCGTTTTAGGATTCTGTTGGAGGCTTATCGGAGCGTCTCGGGGCGATCTTGGGGACCTGTGGGGTTGTCCAGGAGCTTCGGGGAGCAAAAGAAACGAGAACGCAAGAATCTGTGGAAAACGGATGAGAATCGAGGGATTTAGCTTGTTTGGGCTTTCGTGGGATTGCGCCTGGGGACAGTTTGCGCCGTTTTGCAGGCTTATGGTGCCGTCCAGAGGCTGCGAAGGCGTCTTGCACAGATCGTTCGGCGATTCACATTTTCTTCTACTGTCTTGAAGGCGTCTCGGGGCAATCTTCGCTCATCCAGGGGCCTTCTTGAGCTCAGGGACCCGTCCCTGACGGGGAACGACGGCGGCGGCGGCGGTAGCGACGACGACGCTGATGTGGGTTGAGTCCTCAGGGGTGCTTCTTGGGGTTTCTTCCGGGCGCTCTCGAAGTGTGCTTCCCAACCTCGGCTCGCTGGGGGTGTGTGTGCCCGGTTCCCCCTCCTCTCTCCCCCCCCTCCCCTTCCGCTCCCTCCCTCGGCCCCTCCCCCCCCTCTTTTTCCTTTCCGCCTTCTCCTCCCTTCCTGGGGGGCGGGGCCCGGGTTCACTCCCTGGCGGGGGACGCGGCGGGAAGCAAAACGGCCCGCAGAGTGCGGGGGCGGGCGTCTGGCCCGCGAGGCGCGGACCCCCCGTCGCAGGTGCGGATCCTCACCCTGAACGTCACGCTGCTCACCAGAGATCGATTGGAAGCGGTCTTGGCCGTTGCCGTGGAATCTGGTGCGCACCTTCTGTGCTTGCAAGAGACCCGGCACCCCCCGGGGGGCTTTCGGTGGGCCACGGAGCTCGCTGGTCGGGCGGGGTGGCGGGGCCAGTGGTCTGCTGCTCCTCCGATGACTGCTACTGGTCGGAGATAAGGGGGGTGTTTCTTGCTTTGGCGCCCCGAGCTCGGCAAGGGGGCCCCGGGCGACAAGGAGTGCGATTCAAATTCTTGGCGCTCCGTCGGGAGGAACTTTGATGCGATGCGGGTTTCTGTTGCGTGGGGCCCCCACCCTGCTGATGACGGTTGGCTGGCGTCTCTCGTCGCTGCGGCTGGGCGCGTCTCGGATATCCCTGCCGTGATTGTGGGGGACCTGAATTGGCGCCCCGTGTACGATAGCGTGTTGCCTCAGGACTGGGCTGCGGCGCGGGTCACCCCTACCACCACGGAGGGGAAAACTGCCCCCACCAGGTGCCTGGCTCGGGGGGCGGCGGTCGAGCCGGCCTATACCATCCCCGTTAGAGGGGTCCCCCACCACTTGGCCGTGATCTACGATGTGCAAGTCTCGGGAAGAGTCGCCCCCCCGGGCCCCTCAGACGCGCCCAGCCCGCACCGCTGTGTATGACTGGGGGCTCCCCCCGGCGACTGACCAGGCCAGGCACTTGCGGCTTGTGGCGGAAGCTACGCAGGACGACCGACTCCTGCCCCCCAGGGAGGTGATAGAGAGGTGGCATGCCCGCGCCGAGGCCTTGATGCGGGAAGCGTGCAGGCTGGGTCTGGCCGAGACCGCTCGTGGGCAGGAGCGTGACAAAGGTTCGTTGCCAGAGCAGCGGCCGGTCGCGCCGTCGGCGGCGAGGCGGGGTCCGGAAACTGTGCGGTACCGTAGGTTGTGCCGCTTGCAGCGGGTTTTGGAAGAGTCGTGGAAGTCAGCGGAAGTTAGCGTTGGGGGTCCGCCTCCCAGCCAAGCCCCGGCCCCAGGGGCCCTTCTCAGGAGATGGGTGCCAGCGTTTCGGAGCGGCCTCCTTCCCGCGGTCCCCTTCTGCCTCGGGGGTGCCGCGGACATTCTCCGAGCCGAAGTTTCGGCCGAGGAGAGCAGAATGAAAAAGGCGGCCGTGCATGTCTGGAAGGGTCGTTTCAAGCGGTGGGGACCCGATGCGGCCAGGGCTGCGGCCCAGAGGGTGAAGCCTCCCCCTGCTCCCGTGACTTTTTCGGCGGCGGACATGCGTGCCGAGTGGTCACGGCACTGGTGCCCAGGCGCCCTCCCAGGCCCACCCTTGCAGGGTGACCCAGGTCCCGGGCGGGGGAGGGAGGCGGGGGAAGTGGTCGATCCCCTCGCCTTTGCGGAGGCGTGGACGGAGCTCGCGGACGCAGCCGGCGTGCCGGTGGTGCATCCCCCCCACAGGTGGATACCGCCCTCTCGGGCGGCGTTCCGGCAGCAGGTGGCGAACGTCGCGGGCTCGGCCGGTCTGGACGGCTGGGAGGCCAGCGAGGCAAAGGCGCTCGTGGAGCACGCCCCGTGGTTGGTAGACGAGTTGCACGATCTGTTCGTCGCGGCCGCAGAGGCCAGCGTCGAGGCGCTTTCCCGGAACACCCAGCCTGCGGGGCCCCTTTCTGCCGAGCTGTACTCCGGCGGACTGCCGGGAGGCCTGGCTGGGGGCGCGGGCGCGACCATCGGCGCTGGCAGCTGCCAGCCGGGGTCGGAAGCTCCGCCCCGGCGCGGCGATCTTCGCCCTGCGGGGGGCGCCCCGCCTGGGGGCGCACGCCGCCTGGAAGGCGCGCGCGCTTTCCCTGAAAGTATGTTTGCCTTCCGGGTGGCGGGTGTCCCCAAGCGGGGGTCCTCGGACAGTCGCCCGGTCTGCGTGGCCAGCGTCTGGCACAGGGCTTGGCACGCCACGCTGTTGCAGTGCCTCCCGCCTGGGCCGGACGAAGCCTACGGCGAGGTGGGCGTGGTCGCCTCGGTGGCCTCTTGGTTGTCTGCCGAGGGGCAGTACGGCGCTGAGGTGGACTTGATGAAAGCTTTTCACAGGGTCCCTCACCATGTTGCCAGGAGAGCCCTGGAGCGCGCCGGGGTGCCCCCTCCCGTGGTGAACTCCCTCGTCGCCGGCTGGACCGCGGCTCGATTTTGCGCTGTGGCCGGGGAGATGGCCGAGCCCCTCTTTCCCACCAGGGGGACTCCAGCGGGAGACCCGGTCTGCTGCCGCGTGCTTTCCCTCGTGCTGGCGCCGTGGCACCGGCTGGTGGGCGCCCGCGGGGCCGGCCACTGGAGCTACGTGGACGACCGGTCGCTTAACACGGACACGCTGGAGGACCTACAGACCCAGCTGGAGGCCACGCAGCAGTTCGACGCCGCCGTCGGGTTCACGGAGAACGACGGCAAGCGGCAGCTGTGGGCGGGGTCCGGCGCCGCCGAGCACTTGGGTGTGATTGCCCAGCCGGCGACTGGCCTCCGCCCGGCGTTACCGCCCCCGAGAGATGGTTGGGGCCCTGTGGTGGACGCAGCCCGGCGGGCCCGGGTTGTCCCAGGCGGGGCCGAGTTGCGGGAGCAGGTCGTGGAATGGGCGCTGAACAAGTACATGTGGGCGGCCCCCTTCGTGGAGCACCCGCCTGCGGCCCTGGCGAAGGAACGCATGAAGGCCATCTCGGCGCAGAAGTTGACGTGGTGGTGCACTCGGCGCTTCTGGGCGGACCGGGTCCTGACCCACCCCAGCTTGGCGTTGGCGTGCCGGGCCTTGCAGGCGGCACGCGGCCTCCCGTGGTCGCGCATGCTCGAGGTGGCCCTGGACACCACCTGCGGCAAGCTGGGGCTGAGACTGGCGGACCTGCCAGGCCCGCTCCCTGAGGGCGTCTGGGTGGTACCGGGGGCGGGCCTGGATCGCCGTGCCCTGGTCGCTGCGGAAGGGGCGGGGCTGCGTCACCTCGGAGGTGCGTTCGACGCGTCGAATCCCCGGGGCCAGCATGTCCTGCGCGTCTGCGCGCGCCTCCCTGCTGGTGGAGCGCAGGGCCGGGGCGCGGCACGACGAGGAGATGCTGGGCGATGTGGACATCGAAGCTTCGAGCCACCCGGAGTGGTCCAGCTGGCGTCGCCGGCTGCCTCCGCGGAAGCGTTTCTGCCTTTCCGTGTGGCGGGCGGGGGCCGCTCGCACTCCTACCCGGCGCTGGGCTGGGCAAGGTCGATTGCAGGCGTGCCCCTGGTGCGGGTTCGACCGGGCTTCGGCCCGCCACTTCTGGTCGGACTGCCCGCGGTTCCTCCCCGCCAGGAGGGCTCTTGAGGAAGGGCCGCTGGCAGTCCCCCAGGGGTGGTGGGGAGCGCAGCCCCGGGTCACGGCCAAGTCCGCTTGGGTCACTCACCAGGCGCACCCCAGCCCGCGACGGCGGGTCCAGTTGCAAATCGCCGCGGCATAGCTGGCTCTCCAGGGCATGGAGGCACTGCAACGCAGCGGAACGAGGGACCCCGGTGCCCCGCGGCGGTGGCCGGCGGAAGCGTCCGCGTGGGAAGAGGCGGAAGTTGGGCCGGCGGGGGACGGCGGGCCCCTTCGGCGGAGGCTGGTGGAAGAGACCGCGGAAGCCGCGCAGGCGGCACCCGGTGGTGACGCGGTTTCCGCGGAAGTGGCGTTTTCTTCCTCCCCCTCCCCTCGTGGCCTCCTGGCCGGCGGGGTTCGGGGTCCTGGGGGCGTCGATTTGGTGTCCTGCCACGACGGTGTCCCGATGGTGTCCTTTGTGCATGGGGGGCCCTGGCCCCCCCACCCAGATAGAGCGCCGTTGACCCCCAGGCTGACGGCGCGGTGCCGGCGTCCACGGCCAACGTGGTGGCATCGGCGGATGGTGGCCCCTTCCCTCCCCTCCCCTCCCCTCCGCTCGGGCGGCGGCGGCGGCGGCAGCCTGGTTGGTGCCCCCTCTTCCTCCGGGGTGGGTGGGAGGTCTTCGGGCTGAGGCTCAGGCACTGCCGCGGCGGCCTCTGAGCAGGTGGACCCAGCGCGCCCCGGGCAAAGCCCGGGGAGCATGCGGCAAGGCCAAAGGACGCCTACCGCATATATCATCATTGAGGCCTCTGGGGGGCAGTTTGGGGCCCCTTGGGAGCCTCTTGGAGCCTCTCGGGGCTTCTTCGGGGCCTCTTGGGGGCCTCTTGGGGCTGAGGGCTCGAAATGTCCGTTCGGGTTCCCCGTCTGGGCACTCTCCTGGAGCCGTCTTGGGGGCCTCTTTGGCCGTCTTGGAGGCGATCTTGGGAGCCTCTTGGGCCGTCTTGCCGCGTCGGGAAGCGGAAGAGACAAGAACGGCAAAATATTTCAAAAACGCATGGGGAGTCCATTAATTGTGCCTCTTGGGGCTCTCGTGGGAAAGCTCCTGGAGGCTTATTGGGGCGCTTTGCAGGCCTCTTGGGCCGTCTGAAGGCCGTCAAGGCGTCTTAGACAGATCGTTCGGCGATTCGGGGTTCTCTTGGACTGTCTTTGGGGCCTGTCGTATCTGACCCCCACCCCACCCTGGGACCCCCCCCCAGGACCCCCCCGGGGACACCCCCTCCGGCGGAGAAGGGATCGAAGGGAAGGGGCTTCCCTTCGACTCAATTACGACGTTGCTCAACTTCGCTTTGGCTGGCGCACTGAGGAGGTCCCTGGGAAAGGGGGGGAGCTTCGACGAGCCCAGGGAAAGGGGGAGGCAGGGAAAGGGGACGACAGAGACGACGACCAACGAATGACGGAGATGACGACTTGAACGGACAAGCCCCTCACACACGCCGACAGGGTCGGCGGATTTTCGTTGCGGGAAATGCACCATGGATGACAACAGCTCGACAATCATTAATCGTCCCAGAACACCGCTCCTGGGACGTCAACACCGCGGCTCAACGTTCCCGCTGCGTCCTGACAGTCCAACATCGCGCCAAAACACCGTTCCTGGGACTTCGGCCATACGAATCCTTGAAACTGCTGCGCGACGTTGACACGAATATGCGTGGCGCTAAGGCAAGAGCCAAATTTTGAAAAGGAGCTGCCCTCCCTTCTGGAAGCCGCTGCAAACTTTAACGGTGAATGTGCCCCGCGCTATGAAAGTCAGGTTTTGCAAGAGATCCGGCCTCCATTCGCGAAATGGTTGCAAACTTTGAGGAATAATGTGCGCCATGTTGAACGCGAGAGTCACATTTGGAAAACGACCCGTCCTGTATCCTTGACGATGTTGCGAATGTTGAGGAACGTGCGCGGCGCCAGCGCGAGAGCTACATTTTGAAAACGACCCGCCCTCCATCCTTGAAGCTGCCGCAAGTTCAAACAGCGAGTACGCGCGGTGCTCAGGCGAGAGCCGCATTTTGAAAACGACCCGCCCTCCATACTTGAAACTGTTGCAAATTTTGAGGACGAACGCGCGCGCCGCCAAAGCGAGAGCCGCATGTTGAAAAGACCCGCTCCCCACCCATCCTTGAAGTTGTTGCAAATCTCGAGTTTCAGGATCACAAGTGGTGGAAAGTCTCAGGCGGCATGCCCAGCTCGCCCTACCGACCGGCACGGAAGAGTTATTTAGAAGAGGCATGGGTGGAAGCAGAGAAGGAGCAAGGGGGAGCGAGGAGGGAGAGGGAGGAGGAGGAGAAGGAGGAGGAGGAGGACGAGGACGAGGACGAGGACGAGGACGAGGACGAGGACGAGGACGAGGACGAGGAGGAGGAGGACGAGGAGGAGGAGGAGGAGGAGGAGGGAGCAGGATCGAGGAGGAGGAGAGGAGGAGGAGGAGGAGGCGGAGGAGGAGAGGAGGAGGAGAGGAGGAGGAGGAGGAGGAGGAGAGGAGAGGAGGAGGAGGAGGAGGGGGAGGAGGAGGAGGAGGAGGAGGAGGAGGAGGAGGAGGAGGAGGAGGAGGAGGAGGAGGAGGAGGAGTCCGCGAGATCTCCCCCAAGCCCCCATCGCTGCCCTGGGCGACCCGACGGCGGAGAGACCGGGCCGAGGTCGCCCACCCGCGGGGAGCGGCGGTGGGCGGACGTCATCGACGGGTGGCTCCGGGCCGAGATCGAGCGCCTGCAGGCGGCGAGGGGGAGGAGGAGGAGGAGGAGGAGGAGGAGGAGGAGGAGGAGGAGGAGGAGGAGGAGGAGGAGGAGGAGGAGGGGAGGAGGAGGAGAAGGAGCAGGAGGAGGAGGAGCAGGAGGAGGAGGAGGAGGAGAAGGAGAGGAGGAAGGAGGAGGGGGAGGGGAGGAGGAGGAGGAGAGAGGAGGAGGAGGAGGAGGAGGAGGAGGAGGAGGAGGAGGAGGAGGAGGAGGAGGGGGAGGGGACTTCTTGTCACGCATCTGGAGCGGAGTGCCTCTCTGGGTTCAACCAGCTCGATTTGTGACGCAGCCGTGTGGATACCGTTGATCACATCCGACGTGTTGAAAAAAATCAGGGCGGAGGTTTCTCGTCGTTTTCGGCCTCGGGGGGCCGTCGCCGGGCCCCGGGGCCGTCCAGGACCGACTCGGGGCGAGAAAGTGGTCCCCGCGGCAGGGCCGAAGGAGGAAGAGGAGGGAGAGGAGGGAGAGGAGGAGCAGCAGGAGGAGCAGGAGGAGCAGGAGGAGCAGAGAGGAGGAGGAGGAGGAGGAGGAGGAGGAGGAGGGAGGAGGAGGAGGAGGGGGAGGAGGAGGAGGAGGAGGAGGAGGAGGAGGAGGAGGAGGAGGAGGAGGAGGAGGAGGAGGAGGACGAGGAGGAGGAGGAAGAGGAGGAGGAGGACGAGGAACACCCCGCGGTGAAAAGATCAGGGCGCCGTCTGTTTGGGAATGGGGCCGTCGCACCTCTCCACCCTGCGCGTCTCGTCCTCCTCCGGGTGCGCAGCGGTGTCCCTGCGTGGGTGTTTTTGTCGGGCCTCGTTTCCTGCCTCGCTCGTTGTCCCGTCGCCGTGGTGTCTGTCTTTCTGGCCTGCGCCTCGATCGCTTTTCGGGCCAGCCCTCGTTGGGTCCCCGCTCGTCGCCGTGCGACGTGGTGCAAGGGAGTTGGCGCTTGACTCTAAGGTTCAGTCGGGCGTGTCCCTCTACAGGAGGAATATCCAAAAATAGTCCAACAAAATAGGCTGGAGACGATTTGTTTACATGTTTTGTTTGTTTGGTGTCTGTTGGGGTATCTTATGTCTTTCGTCCAAAATCCGCTTGTATGGGGGGGCAGGCCCGACCGAACTCTAGCCCACGCCCACAGCAAGAAACGCAGCTGGGTCCGAGTGGCCGAGGCGCGCCTCCAGAGGAGCGGCGCCCGCCTTCGTGCACCGTCCCACACCTTTCCCCGCTTCCTGTGCACAGCTTCCTCCCCACAGACGGGCGCGGACTCAGCTTCCTTCTGTGCCGCTTCCTGTGTACAGCTTCCTGTGCACCGCTTCCTCCTGTGCCGCTGGCTGTGCACCGCTTCCTGTGCACAGCTTCCTCCTGTGCCGCGACGGAACGGGGCGGATTGTGGATGGACGCGGGGAGGGGGGCGAGTAGGTTCGTAATGGGGAGCGGGGAGGGGAACGAGGACGATCGAGGATCGCAGCTTTGCTTCGGGGGTGGCGTTTTCAGGCGTCGCCTGCCCTTGTGGAACTCCTGGGGGTCTCTGGGGACCGCTCGGCACGTCTGGAGGCATTGGTTTGACGGCTGCGTACCTCAGGAGGGCTCCGTGGACCTCGGGGGGACAGGGTGTAAAGCAAGAGGAGGGGGGAGAGGGGTGCGATGAGGTCAGGGGGAAAGGGAGGGGTTCGGGGGTCTAGCGGGGGCATGCGTTTTCAAGGCTTTTCATACCGAGCCTGCATCCCCTCAGGAATGTGGAGGAGGAGGATGGGGAGGAGGAGGCTCCTTCCCTTCCGTTTCCTCCAGGACGGAGGAGGATGTCCCCTGTCCTTCCCTTTCCCGCAGGAAGGAGGAGGAGGAGGAGGAGGTTCTTTCCATTCCCTGTCCCTCAGTTGAGGAGGATGATGTTCCTTCCCTTCCTTCCCCTCGGAAGGAGGAGGAGGAGGAAGAGGAAAAGGGGGAGGAGGTTCTTTCCCTTCCCTTTACCCTCAGGGAGGGCGAGGAAGGGGGTCCCTTTTCCTGCCCCTTTTCCATCAGAAGAAGGATGAAGAGGAGGAGGAGGCTCATTCCCTTCCTTTCCCTCAGGAAGGAGGATGAGTATGCGACCCTTTCCACCCCCTTTGCCTCAGGAGGAGGAGGGGGGAAAAAGGGGGAGGATCCGTCCCTTTCCCCTTCCCGCAGGAAGGAAAAGGAGGAGGTTCCCTTCACCCCCTGTCCCTCATGAGGGAGGAGGGGGATGAGGAAGCTCAGTCCCTTTCCCTTTCCTTCAGAAGGAGGAGGAGAAGGAAGAGGACCATTCCCTTCTTTTTCCCCCAGGAGGGAGGGGGGGGAATCCTCCCCTTCCCTTGCCCCAGGAAGAGGAGGAGGAGGGGAGGTTCCTTTCTTTCTTTTTTTTCCTCAGGGCGGAAAAGGAGGAGGTTCCTTCCTTTCCCGTTCCCGCATGGAAGAGGAAGAGGAGGGTCATTCCCTTCCTTTTCCCTCAGGAAGCAGGAGGAGGATGACGAAGTTGTTTCCCTTCCTTTTCCTTCAGAAGGATGAGGAAGAGGCGCCGTCCCTTCCCTTTTCCCCGGGAAGGAGGGGAAGGAGGAGGTTCCGTCCTTTCCTTTTTCCATCGGAAGGAGGAGGAGGAGGAGGAGGTATATTCCTTTCCCCTTCCCTCAGGAAGGGGAGGAGGGCGGTCACTCCTTTCCCTCTTTCACAGGGTAGAGGGGGAGGGGGTCCCTTCCCTTCCCTTCCCCTCAGAAGAAGGAGGAGAGGGAGGAAGTTCCTTCCCTTCCCCTTCCCTCAGGGAGGACGAGGAACATGTCCCCTTCCTGCCCCTTTCCATCAGAAGGAGGAGGAAGAGGAGGAGGAGGCTTTCCTTTCCCTCAGGAAGGAGGACGAGGACGAGGCCCCTTCCCTTCTCTTTCCCTCAGGAGAAAGAGGGGGAAGAGAAGGAGGAGGATCCTTCCCTTTCCCTTTCCACCAGGAAGGGAGAGGATGAGGTTTTATGCCCCCCCCCCCATCCTTCAGGAAGGAGGAGGAGGAGGAGGCTCTTTCCCTTTCCTTTCCCGCAAAAGGAGGAGGAGAAGGAGGAGGCTCATTCCCTCCCCTTTGCCTCAGGAAGGAGAAATCGGAACTTCCTTGCCTCCCCTTCCCTCAGGGAGGAGGAGGAGGAGGTTCCTTCCCTCCCCTTTCCCTCAGGACGGAGAAGGAGGAGGTTCCTTCCTTTCCCTTTCTCTCATGAGTGAGGAGGAGGAGGTTCATTCCCTTCCCTTTCCCTCTGGAAGCAGGAGGAGGACGATTTGGCTTCTCCCCCTCCTTCACCATTGCAAAGTACAACGCGCTGCAGCCCTGGATGCTAAACATATTATGTTTTACAGTGTTTTGACAATCCCCGACGCCAAATCCATAGTAACCTATAGCGCTTTGAAGCCCCTGAAATGAATGGCGAACGCTGCGCTTTACAATGTTCTGACAACCCCCGAAGCCCAAAACATTTGCAATCACAACGTTCTGCAGCCCTGGATGCTAAAAAAAAGCTGCGTTTTACCATGTCCTGAGAACTTCCGAAGCCCGAACCATTGAAAATCACCACGTTCTGCAGCCCTGGATGTTAAAAACAGTTCGTTCACCATGTTTTGACGAACTCCGAAGCCCAACTCCTAGAAAATGAAAACGTTTTGGAGCCCTCCATGTGAACAACGCTGCGTTGCACAATGTTTTCTCAAATTCCGAACCCTAAAACATTGTAAAACACGACGTTCTGCAGCCCTGCATGCTTACAACATTGTGCGTTACAGCTCTCTGACAACCTCCGAAGCCCAAACCATTTAGAAGTATAGCGTTCCGGAGACCTGGAGGCAAAACACATTATGTGTTACCATGTTTTTTATTTCCGGAGCCAAAGGCATCGTAAATTACAGCGTTTTCGATTCCGTTAATCTGCCTCTCTCTCCCTCCCTTCCCCCCAACCCCCCCCCTTGTTGGAGGCCTGGGGAGGGGACAAAGGGGAGGCGCGCAGGGGGAGGGAGGGAAGAGTGGGAAGATGAGGAGGGGCGGCGCGTCCTCCGCCCACCCCTCCTCCCTCCTCCTGCTGGAGGCCTGGGGGGAAGCGGAGGGGAGATTCAGAGGGGGGAGGGAGGGGAACTGGGAGAATGAGGACGGATGGCGCTCCTCTCCTGGAGGAGGCCTGGGGGGGTGTCCCAAAAAGAAAAAAAGAGAGAGAGAGAGAAGACGAAAAAACAGAAGCCGCCCCCACGAGTCACTGCCGAAGCAGACGTGGTTTCTCTTGTGCAGCCGCAAGGTACTGTCTTTCATCAGTGCCCGGCTGGCGGGTCCCTTTTTTCTGCAGGCGCAAGACCCAGTACACTGGCAGGCGGTAGAACCAGCTTCAGCCATCGGAAGCACGACGCTGGCTACATCTGGCCGCCGATACAGGACAGACGTCAGTCCATGCCCGGGGCGACCCGCAGCGAGTATTCGGGCATGGTATTCGGGCATGGGCTTCCACAGCGGGAGTCCCAGAATCCATTCATTGTCCTCCTTGCCGTGGGGCTTCCTGCGTTTTTGGTGGAGGCCCGATGTGCACATGTTCCACGCGACGTCCCTGCATGGATTCTGCATGGCAGCCATGGCAGGTGCCCACCGAACTCCACCGCTGTGTTCGGCGGTGGCCATGAGTTCGTGACGCGCTGGATCCGCCGGGCGCGGTGTGGGGCAGATGCTTGGTCTCCAGGTTTGATCGCAGATGCCCGAAGATGTCTCTGCAGGTGGTGCGCGTCGCTGCACTGCGGTGTTCGGTTGCTTTTGTAAGGCTGTACTTGGCCTGCTGCGGCCAGGAGCGAAGGGACCCCAGTGGCCATCGTTTCTCATTGCAGTCAGAGGGAGGAAGGAGCCCAGCCCTGCGTATGTCAGGAGGGGAAAAAACACAGACACAATTAATCATCGAGTCCCCAGAAAAATGGGAAAATATGGGAAGTGAGGGGGAGGACGAAAACCCCAACATATGGGAAAATATGGGGACCCCCTGGATGTGTGGGCATTTACATACTTGTGTGTCCCAGGGCCCCTTCAGTCTGAAGGCTTCGCAGGAGCTGGCTGGGTCATCAGGGCACGGCTGGATCCCACTGCGCATTCCTCTGATGAGTTGTCTCGCTTCGGCGGCGCCGAGTCCAGCGTGTGCGCGGAAGCGCCTGCAGCAAGATCGTACTCTCGAGCTGTCACGGCCTCGCTGCCCCGACAGAGCCTTGCACTGAAAAGAGCAACCAGTAGAGTCCTTCAACTTGCATGCAAACGTTCACTACGAGCCCTGCTCACACCGTGCTTTCAACTCCAGCGAGATAGGGCGCCGCAGCCCGCGCTCGTCAGAGGTAACCGCAGGCCAAACAATTGCCACCCCTCGCACCATCCAGACCATCATCATCATCATCATCATCATCATCATCATCATCATCATCATCATCATCATCATCATCATCATCATCATCATCATCATCATCATCATCATCATCATCATCATTGCAATCAGTACCATCGTCAGCGTAGTCACCGTCGTCATCATCATCACCACCATCACAGTCAGCATCACTGCTCTTTCCTTTCACCGCTCCCTGCGCGCATCCGTGGGTGCAAGGTGGCAGACAGAGAACTCTACCAGCTCGGCAAGGAGGTTTTCCAGTCGCAGGCCCAGAAGTTCGGATTAGAGTGCCCGTCGCCAGAAGGCCTGGCCTCGCTGTTCCTTTCTCACCCGCCCTGTTTTGCCCCCCGCTTCCCCGCTTTCCTCATCCCTCGCTCGTTCCCCGTTCCCCGCCTCATTGTTTTTCATGTTCCCCTTGTTTTCCGCTTCCCTTCCCGGCCTTCACTTTCCGCCCTACTCCTCACCCCCTTGTCTCCCATCCCTCTCATTCCCCCCCCCCCCTCGTTCCCCGCTCCACTTCCTCCCTCCCGTGCAGCGTCCCTGGTCCTCAGTGCCACCTCTCCCTGGCCTCCTTCCCCCTTCCCCCTCCCCCCCTTGCGCCGGGCATGCGCCGCAGCCGCCGGTCCAGCGCGTTGCCCCCGGCGGGGCGAGCCTGCAGCTGTTAGGCGAGGGGCGGGCGGGCCGGCGACAAGATGCGGTTCTTCTCCCAGTGCCCCGGCTTGTGGCGTGGTTGGTCGCGCCTCGCACTGGGTAGGACGCCCCGGGCTCGGAGCTCAGGGCATGCTGACCCGCGCCAAGGGGCGCCGACCAAATGTCCAACGGGCCGCGGGCCCCGCGCAGCTCGCGGCAGCGGCGCGCCGAGGCGGCCCTTGCCGCAGCCGCCACGGCTGCACTGGAGGGCACAGCGGGCGCAACCGCGAGGGCACCGACTGCAGCGGCCTGGGCCGGTCGGCTCAGCGCCCCGGGCGCGGCGCGCCGCTGGCCGCGACCCGCGGGCAGCTTGCCGGGGAACGCGCTATAGGGAAGGCAACGCGGCTCGCGGCGCCACGCCCGGCCCCCGAGACCCGGACCCTCTCGAGCCGTGAAACGATCACGACGGGAGGCTTTCCTCGATTTCTCGGCCTCTGGGGGCCCTTGTTGGGCCTCGGGGGCGTCAACAAGCGCCCCGGGAGGAAAAGCCGGCCCCGGGGAACGGGTCGAGACCTCAGGGCTCGACGTCATGAAAACATCACGACGTCGGGGGTCTGGAAAGCTCGCGCGAGGCGTTCGGGCGCGGCCCCATGAGCAGCCCCGCGGATGAGAGAGAGAGGGCGCGGATCAAATGGCCGCGCACAGCGCCCGCGGAACGCGCCACTCGGCACCGCGCATGCGGGGCCAGACGTCCGGCGCCCCACTCTGTTCGACGCGTGGGCCCCCAAGGGTCTGGACGATTTCCCTCCAGGACCGGTCTTGGGGCATGGGTCGAGATCTCTGGGGTCGACGTTCTGTTGAAAAAAGAGAAAGACAAAGAACAAAAAACGGGGGGGGGGGAACAACAACAACACATATATATACATACTTAATAATAATAATAATAATGATAATAATAATAATGATGATAATAATAATAATAATTATAATAAAAATGATAATAATAATAATAATAATAATAATAATAATAATAATAATAATAATAATAATAATAATGATGATAATGATAATAATAATAATAGTAATAATAATAGTAATAGTAATAATACTAATACTAATAATAATAATAGTAATAGTAATAATAATAAGAATAATAATACTAATAGTAGTAGTAATAATAATATCCTCCTCCACTGTATCCTCCTCCTCCACTGTATCCTCCTCCTCCTCCTCCTCCCCCTCCTCCTGCACTGTATCCTCCGCCTCCTCCTCCTCCTCCTTCTCCTCCTCCTCCTCCTCCTCCTCCTCATCATCATCATCATCATCATCATCCCTCCTCCTCCTCCTCTTCTTCGCCCCTGACCCGTCCGTCAGTTTAGGGCCCAGCCCGCTCGCGTGCTCGCCTGGCACTATGATGTTTCAACCTACCTTCTAGCCTTGACCACCAAAAAAATCGAGCACCAAGAAAAGTACCGAAACCGGAGGGCTTTTGGGAGGCGACATTCGTTCGACACTGTGTCGATCCTTGTCTGGGTGCTCGAATTGATTAAGTACGATGGGAGCAACATAAGTTTAGGGCACAGCCCGCACGCTTGCTCGCCTGACAAGCCGCGCGAGCCCTCCATCGAGGAACAAATGATGGCATGAGCATAAACTGTCGGACTGCCGCGCGGAGTTCTTGGATCTGCGCTGGGCCCCCATGGCGGCGCCTCTGGCGCCGCTATTGGCGCGCTCCGCGCGCCAGGGAAGGGGTCCAGCGCAGATCCGAGAAATCCCCGCGGACCTCCGAAAATGTATGTCTAGGCAGTTGTTTGTTCCCTTATCCTCCTCGTCGTCGGCATCGCTATCTCATCGTCCCCTCCTCCCCCCTCTCAAGCAAGACCATAGAGGAAGCCCCGAGACGCCCCGAGCAAGATCACGGAGGAAGCTCCGCGCGGACCTCTTAACGTTTTTTTTCTGTGGAGTGTTTTCTTTTGGGTGGAGCGGTTCCTACAGCCTGGAGGGAGCGGTTCACTCCCAGACCCCCGACGTCATGATTGTTTCAGAACGTCGACCAGAGGTTTCAACCCATTCCCCAGGACCGGTTTGTTCGTCCGGAGTCGTTTTTTGGACGACCCCGAGGCCGGGTTAGGGCACCCAGAGGGCGAAAAACGAGGAAAAAGTCCCGTCATGATTTTTCCACGGCTCGACGGGGTTCGGCTACTTTATACCCTCCTCCTCCTCCTCCTCTTCCTCCTCCTCCTCCTCGTCCTCCTCGTGCTCGTCCTCCTCGTCCTCCTCCTCCTGCTCCTCCTCCTCCTCCTGCTGCTCCTCCTCATTCTCCTTCTCCTCCTCCTCCTCCTCCTCCTCCTCCTCCTCCTCCTCCTCCTCCTCTCCTCCTCCTCCTCCTCCTCCTCCTCCTCCTCCTCCTCCTCCTTCTCCTCCTCCTCCTCCCTCTCCCTCCTCCCTTGGAGCGGGCGGTTTGGGGCCGTTTTCGGCCTCCACGGCCGTCGCTCAGGCCCCCGGAGCGTCAAGAAAGGAGGACGAAAAACTGGCCCTGGGGAAGTGGTCCAGGCCTTCGGGGTGATCGGAATGGGTACGGAAAGAATGGGCACAACGACCGACAGCAGTTCCTGTTCGTTGGGCTCGCTGTCGGCGTCGTCGCGGACTGGTCCATGTGAGACAGAAGGCTGCCTGCCCAACAGCGGCCGCTGTTGGTTTGGGGCAATATTTGTTGTTGGGCATTGTGCCCATGTTTTCCGTACCCACTTCGGGCGTCCAGAAGCCCACGCACCGAAAAATCGGAGCGGCCAGACGTTTGGGTCGTGTGGCGCTGGACACTGCACACCGCACACCGCACGCCGCCAGATACCGGACACCGCACACTGATCTGTACGAACGAAATGGGCACGGAACGAATGGGTACGATGCCCAACAGCAGTTGTTGTTCATTTTGAACAGGACTCGCTGTCCGCGCCGCCGCGGCCTGTGTTCATTTGAGACAGAAGGCCGCCTGCCCAACAGCGGCCGCTGTTGGTTCGGGACAACATTTGTTGTTGGGCATGTTGCCCATTCTTTCTGTACCCATTTCGGGCGTCCAAAACTGCGCATCGGGCACCGCGAGAGTCGCACAGGCGTCCGCGGAGCGCCGACGCACTGTTGTCCAGCCCCGTGGCAGCTGCTGCGGCAGAGTAGCTGCATCGCGCTGCCTCTTCGGCCCGTCGCGGGCGCGACGGGTCCCCGGACCCCGATCAAAACCTTAGCGTGTGCACGAGGAGGCGCAACGGTGTCTGATTCGAAACGCGTCCCAAGCCTGCAAAAATCACCACCCACCAAATCACCCCAACCCAACCCGAAGGCTCAGATTTACCCTCGATTTCCAGTGGGGGGGGATCGGGAAACATCGAAAAAACACATGTGGAACCCTTACCCCCCCAACCCGAAATTCGGGTCTTCGGGTTGGGTTGGGGTGGTCTGGTAGGTAGTCAAAAAATGAGTGGCCCTGTGCCAGTTTCGAAACCCGCGAGGAATCCGACGTCGTGTGTGGCGTTCTGGGGCTGTTGTACCTGCGCGCCGCGTCGAGTTCCATTCCCCGCCGCGTCTGATCAGGCGATCAGGCTGTGCGGGAGTTGCGGGCCCAGGGCGTGCGTAAAGTATCCGTTTGGGTTTGAGGTTTGCTGCGTTCCCCAGTTTCGCAGCGTGTTCGGAACCTTCCTTATGGATTTGCCACCTTTGCCAAACCCAGAATATCGTGAAACCCAGGATTGTGACGTACCAGAGATCGTATGCTTACCCTGCCCCCCTCCCGCCTCCTCCTCCTCCTTCCCGCCCGCCTTCTCCCTCCAGTCTCCCTCCCCCTTTCCTCCCTTCCCACCCGGATTGACCCGATCCCTCGGTATTCCACTCCCCGTTGTTTTTCTTCCCCGCGTACCCTCTCCCCTTGCACACCCCTGCGCATCCCCGCACCGTCATCATCTATTATGTGCCCTTCAATGTCTCCCCCCCCTCTTCCCCCCGCTGGTTCTCCCAGTCTCCCCCATCTACCCAGTCCGTCTCCAGTCTTCACTGACGCTATCCTGTTCCATTCCGCCGATGCGGTCCCCTTTTCATTTCCTCCCCCCCCTTTCTCCTCCTCCTCACTCTACCGTTAAGTCGGGCCTGTCCCTCTACAGGGGGATTATTCAAAAATAGTCCGAAAATAGTCAGGTGACCATTTTTTTAGCAGTTTTTTGTAATTTTGGAGCTTGCGTTTGGTATTTTATATTTTTCGCCGAAGATCCCCCTGTAGGGGGACGCGCCCGACTTAACTCTGCCTGTCTCCCCGCACACGCCAGCGAAAGTTGCCGCAGCACCATCCGATCTGCCACCGCCTTTCCACTCCGCCCAGCCTCCCACACCCCCCTCTCCTGCCCTCCTGTCCCCCTTTCCCGCTGTTCTCCCCACCCCCATTCTTCTCACATGATTCTCCCCATTTCCCATGATTCCCCCATTTCCCATTCTTCTCCCCTCTTTCCAGTTCTTCTCCCCATCCCTTTCCCGTTCTTCCCCACTCATGTCCCCATGCTTCTCCCCATGTCCCATCACATGTTCCCCAGTCTCCCCCTCAGCAGCCCCTTCTCAGCCTGATGGCAGGGTGGCCCGCCGTGCTCAGGCCCGTTCTCGGACACGGTGCCCAGGCTCCCCAGGCGGAGCGCCAGCTGGCTTCGTGGGCCCGCCCTGCTCCCTCCCTTCCCGTGGGGCGACGCGCGCGTGACCTGGCCGGGCACCGTTGCTGTCCCACCATGCGACCAGCGCGTGGGTGCCGACGGATGACCGCAGGTGTCGGCCACGCGCAGAGGGGAGTAGGGGGAGGGGGGAAGGCTTCTTAGAAGCACCCCTGCTTCTTAGAAGACGCGACCCTTTTCTATAGATGTAAGGCTGGCGCCTTCTAAGAAGCAGCCTCCTTCTAAGAAGCCGTCCCCCCTCCCCCTACCCCCCTCGGCGCGCCGCCAAAGGTGGTCGTGGAAGTGTCACTCCCCCTGCTCCCCTGCCGCCCCCGTATGCTTCGACTTCGCTCTTACTGTATAGATGGTCTGCGGATTTCTGGAGCCTCGTGCTGTGAACAGCTCGCGGCCACTGCGTTTCTGCCTTCCCCCCCTCTCTCTCTTTCTCTTTCCCCTCTCTGCCTCTTGCTCTCGTTCCTCGTCCGTTCCTCGTTGGCACCGTCGAGTCGACAGAGGTTTAGAACAGGTCCACCCCTGCCTCCCCCCGCTCAGCCCCGCACCTGCCCACCGCCTCCCGCGCGGGAGGCGCCGGCGCTTCCTAGCTGGGCGCAGGGGCCGCGCCAGCGCGCGCGCACAGGAGGGACACGGGCAGAAGCGGCATCTCCCCAGGTCAGGGGGGGGGCTGGAGGGAGGGAGGAGGGAGGGAGGAGGAGGAGGGAGGAGGGAGGAGGAGGAAGGAGGGAGGAGGGAGGAGGTCAAGGGAGGAGGAGGAGGGAAGAGGAGGAGGGAGGAGGAGGAGGAGGAGGGAGGAGGAGGGAGTAGAGGAGGAGGAGGAGGAGAAGGAGGAGGAGGGAGGAGGAGGAGGAGGAGGAGGTGGAGGAGGAGGGAGGAGGAGGAGGGAGAGTCAGGGGGAGGAGGGGAGGGGGAGAGGAGAGTAGGAGAAATAGGAGGGAGGAGGGAGGAGGAGGAGGGAGGAGGAGGAGGGAGGAGGGAGGAGGAGGAGGGAGGAGGTCAGGGGGGAGGAGGGAGGAGGGAGGGAGCCTTCCGCTGCAGCAAGATGCACGGCGCATTGAATCTAAGCTGCAGTCAACCATGATAGTAAGGATGGGGCAACTTTCCAAGGCTGCCCTTGCATCCTTGCCCCTTCGGTATTCAGCATCCTTCGGCATTCTGCTGCGCTCCGCACGGAAAACGTCGACATAGCGTCCCAAGGCCCTGGCATCCATCCGCGCATCCTTGCCATCCTGGTCGAGTGCACCTCGGTACGCCGCCCGTGCTGCAGCGCAGCACCTGCCGAACGCAACGTCTGCCGCGCTCAGCGCGTCCGTGCCGACACGCTGCGTGCTGGCCCGGCACGTTGTGGCCCATGAAACGCGCAGCGTGCGTGCGCCAAACGTGCTCAAAGCGTACGTTCTGAGGCGAAGCGCCTCCAAGCGAAACGCGTCGACGCGCTGCGTGGCACGAGTTGTGTTTGCCGTGCTCAACGCGCACGATCTGCGAACGTGCCGCGCCAGACCCACGCTTCGGCCCACGCGCGTTGAGCGCCGTGCCAGCCCGCCGCGGGTTGCGCGCTGCGCCTCGGGACAGCCCGAGGGTCAGGAGGCGTGGCCTCTCCCCTGGGAGAGGGCAGCACACGTCAAGACTAGAAGCAGGGACAGCACGAGAGACAACACTTTTTTGATCCGCGGGTCGAGAGCGAGCCTCTTCCGAACGAGAGACGACACACGATGGGGCCACAGACGAACTTTGCACCAACCGGACACCACGCCACCGGGGATGAGGAGGTGAAGGGGGAGGTATGCCTCCTCCTCCCCCTTCCCACCCTTCTCATCCATCCTGCTTCCGATGTTCCTTCCCCCTCTTCCTGCTCCCTTGCCTGCTGCTGTTTTTCCTCCCGGCGCACTTTGTACGTCGCAGCACGGCAGAGGCAATCCGCTCGGGCGTTCGAGTTGCCGGGGACAAGCGGCGGGCGCGCGGGGGGAGAAGCGGCCGCAGAGGACAGGAGGGAGGAGGAGCCCCCCTCTCAGCGCACAGGAGAAAGAGAGAGAGAGAGAGCGAGAGGGCGAGAGAGCGAGAACGGGAGCGAGAGAGAGAGAGAGAGAGAGAACAAACAAAGACAACCAAAAGCCCACCCGTAGGCTGTAGGCCGACACCAGGGGAGCCCGCCCTCATTTCCTGATGCAGGCGGTGGGGGGCGGGGGGAATGAAAGGGTGAAAGCACTGGGGAGGGGGCGTAGTCTCCAGATACTTCTGAAGGTCTGCAGAAGCCTGCGGAGGTCTCAGGAAGCCTCGGGAGGCTGCTTGAGGCCTCGGGAAGCTTCTGGCAGCAAGGATGCGTTTCGTTCAGTGGTAAATGTGTAGTTCCCCGGCGTTTTTTACAGCATGGTTTTCAGTCGGGGGCCCCCAAACGGTGTGGTGACCACACCGTGCGGTCAGTCGGTGGGGGTTCGGGGTCACCGCACGGTTTTGGGACTCGGGTCGTTCTCCGAGGATGTCTCGGGCGACTGGGGCCTCCGGGCTCCCAAGACCGTGCGGTGACGGACCGTGCGGTGATGTCTTAGGGGATTTCGAGGTCACCGCACGGTCTGTCGCCGCACCGTTTCGGAACTCCAAATCCGTGCTCGTTTCCAGATGCGCCGTGTCGTTGGCCTTCGCTTCCAGGGCCGTTTCCTCTGGAACCGAGTTCGCTCCTCCCGTTGCGTCCCCGGTCCAGGCCCGCGGGGAGCAGGCCCCCCAGAAAACGGATCCGCACCCGCAGCGTCTTTTGTGGGAGCCCGGATCAGTTCTGGACCCAAACGGCTTTGCAGGGCTTCCCAGCGGGGCGGACTGAGGGCCAAGCTCCAGCGCGGGTTCCGGGGCTTGGAAGCACAAGTTCTTGGGGCTCCCAAGCTTCATTTGGAGACCAAGGGGAAGGCCGGGCAAGCCAAGCCCCTGGTCCTTCCTCGGGCCCAGGGCGGATTGCAGGGCCCGAGGCAGCTTTCCATGTCCCTTGGAGCCCAAGATTTGTTTGAACCTGAGCCCCAGCGGTTCGGGCATCGCCAAGATGACAGGGGGGGGGGGATGGCACATCCCTGGCTTTGCTGCGGGCCCACGGCGGGCCCCTCTCTCGGGCTGGAAACAAGAGCTCGTCGCGTCCCCAAGCGAGCGGCGCAGAAGAGCGTCTCCGATTGTGCCGACATCCGTGCGTGAGCTGCCCAGGTAGGGTCGCGCGAGAGCGCCCTCGCTTCCAGCGTAGCGTGCCGCGCTGGCGGCCCGCGTAAGTTGCGGTGCAAGGTCGCAATGCCATCTTGTGTAAGGCCTCTTTATTCTCTTGCACAGCTGTGTTCTAGAGCTCGGACCTCTTTCTTTTCGTGGTTCGTGGTTCGTCCTCCTCCCCTGGCCTCCCCCCCTGGCTTCCTGGCTCCCTGGGGCCTCCCAGGGCAGCTCCCCTGGGCCGCGGAACCCTGTATGTTGGTGGTTCCTGGTTCGTCCTCCTCCCCCCGTCCTTCGTTGTCAGATTGTGCAAGAGCCAGGGCACGCGTGCCACTCGTTTTCGTCGCTCAAGTGCTGTTTGACCCGGCGAGCAGACAGTGCCAAAAGGGCCCACAATGCGGATCGGAAGGCAGAGGACCAGGGGGCCGTCGAGGGTGCGCAGACGCGCCGGGCCCGCCCCCTTGAGATGGCACAGAGCAGGCTCTGTAGAGCTCCAGGCAGAGAGCGGCTGCGGAGGCCAATGATGGTTGGGACCCTCAGAAGGTTACCAACCTGAGACAGAGCCCTATCCCTACTAGTGGCGTATCCTTATTCCGGTGCCGATCTTACGGATTCGCACGATGCCTGAAGGCACGTCCCTTAAGATTGTCATCGCCTTGGGCTTGTCGATCTTAGGGGTAGGGATAAGTTCGAGGCTGGTTAGAGGGGGCGCATTCCTTGGGCGTCGGGCCGACTCTGGCTCACTGAGCAAACTTGCTGGGCCCCAGACGTGGTCTGGAACCCCAAGGGGGGGATTCAGCGTACGGGGTGGCCCTCAGTAGACTCTGGGGCTCTGTTCTCAGGAGGCAAAGAAACACACAGACACAATTAATCGTCAACTCCCTGGAAAGATGGGAAAAATGGGAAGTGGGGGGAAGACGAAAACCCAGAAAATATACGAAAATATGGGGGGTGATGTTATTTGTGTGTATTTGTTTGTGTGCCCCTGGGCCCCTTGATATTCACCTGTTCAAGGTATCTCACAGAAACTCACAGCAACCCCCCCTGAGGCGGCCCAGAGCAGGCTCCGCAGGTTGCACTCCAGGGAGGGGGCGCTCCTCCTTGGGCCTAGGGCAGGCTCCACAATTGAACAACTTGTCGGATTCAAGAATGTGGTTCGGGGAAGCCTCTGGGGTTGAGAAAGTCCTTGATTTGGTAACTCTACATGTGGCAGTTGTTTGTTTCGTTTCGTTTCGTTTCGTTTGGGTACAAGCATGTCGTTCAGTATCGTTTCCGGATGTTCTCCAAATAGGCTTGCACTATAGGAGTCATAGCCCATCATAAGTAATTGGTATTCGCCCCCCTTTTTCCAACGGTACCCCCTTTTTTCCAATGGCAACCCCCTTTTTCCAATGGCACTTGCTTGCTCGCTCTTGCGTGCTTGCTCTCGCTTGCTTGCTCTTGCTTGCCTTTGCTTGCTTGCACTTGATCGGTGGCTCTTGTTTGCTCGTTATTGCTCGCTTGCGCTTGCTTGATTCCGCATGCTTGCTTGCGCTTGTTGATTTTGCTCCTCCCGTTCTCCTCCCGTCCTCCTTTCGTCCTCCTCCCAGCCTCCTTTCGTCCTCCTCCTGTCCTCTTATCTATTTGGAGTCAACGCTGGCTGATATCGTTTTGTGCGTTTCCGTTACGTTTATTGGAAGCGCTTCCCGCTTCCGTTTCCAAGCGATTCGTTTCTTGTTGTGAAGGAGCAGGGAGATGGTGATGAGCAGAAGCAGGCGTGTGCGCAGGAGGAGGGTAATGATGAGGAGGGGCAACAGCATAGGCAGGCGGGGGAAAGGAGAAAAGGGGTCAAGAAAATGAGGAAGAGGAGGGAGTGAAGGAACAGGAGGAGGAGGAGGAGGAGGGGGAGGGAAGGACAGGAGGAGGAGGGGGAGGGGGAGGGGAGGGGAGGGACTCGCCTCTCTGAGTCAAGCGTCAGTGGGGCCCAACGTAGGGGTTGTATCCAAGGCCATCCAATGACCTCGTTGGCCAGCTTGCTGGATGGAGATGAGAGAGAAGAGGAGGAGGCGGAGGAGGAAGGGGTCAGGAGAGGGAAGAGGAGGAGGAGGAGGAGAAGGCGGAGGAGGAGTTGGGCGAGGGGCAGCAGGGGGAAAAGGAGGAGAAGAAAGAGGAAGGAGGAGGAGGAGGGAGGAGGGAGGAGGAGGAGGAGGAGGAGGAGGAGGAGGAGGAGAGGAGGAGGAGGAGGAGGAGGAGGAGGAGAGGAGGAGGAGGAGGAGGAGGAGGAGGAGGAGGAGGAGGAGGGAGGAGGAGGAGGAGGAGAGGAGGAGGAGGAGGAGGAGGAGGAGGAGGAGAGGAGGAGGAGGAGGAGGAGGAGGAGGAGAGGAGGAGGAGGAGGAGGAGGAAGAGGAGGAGGGAGGAGGAGGAAGAGGAG